GCAACTTGCACTAGTCCGCGAGTGGCCCCCCCAACTCGTAAGACCTCCAATTCACATGGTCCATTCCTGGGGAACGGACAGGAACGGAGCTGAACGGACAAGGACGGGGCCGTTCCATGTTAGGAACGGGGCCGTTCCATGTCAGGAACGGGGCCGTTCCATGTCAGGAACGGGTCCGTTCCTGAGCCGGGAAGGATCCGTCCCTAGGCAGGAACGGATCCGTTCCAACACCATTCCGGCCCAGCCCAAATCCGGTCCAAATCCGTTCCTGGGGAACGGCCCAGGAATGGACTGGAACGGACTCGGACGGACTGGGACGGGAACGGGAATGGGTCCGTTCTTGGGACAGGAACAGACACCATCACCGTTCCCGTTCCTATGCCATTTGGCTGGGCCCACCTCTGTGCATGGGTGGTTATTGCTTCTCCGAGATCGTGTCGGGGTGGGGCTAGGGAATTGTTGTTTTGCTCTATTGAAGTACTGGCCATGGCTTGGCCGGGAAAAAGCCGTTGTTACCAGGGCTCGCGGTGTCCATGGCTACAAATTGGCTCAAGATCGTCGCATGGGCGATTGCTATTCTCGCTACCGAGTAATGGTCGTACCGCTAGGAAAAGCCGTTGTTGCCGGGCTCGCGAAGGTGTATGCGGGTGGTCAGCCGCTGTCCGAGATCGCGTCGCATGGGGCTGAGGGGGATTACCGCTCGCTGGCCGGAATACCGCCATGTTCGGCTGACAAAGCTCGCCGCTGTCGGCCTAGCCGCAGCAGGGTCAAGGCGGATGGTGCTACGCAGCGCGCCAAGGGCAAAGACCGGCCGACGGAACAAGAGGCATAGAGGGAGCATGGGAGCACACACCAGGATATCGAGGCATCCAACTGGGCACAGGAAGCTAGCTTCAAAATGTCATCGAAGACCACATTAAAGTCCAAGGCATCACATGACGTACCATGCGAGTGAATGTGTCTATTTGGCTAAGAACTATTAGACATTCATTACTGCAACGGGCGATCATCTTAGGACTATGGGTATTGGCAGGTGTTCATGTGTGCTCTAGCGCGTGGCGGGTTGCGCCTCCAATCTAGCAAGGAGTACCAGCCGTGGGTTGGCCGGGAAAAAGCAGCAAGGGATCGCCTGTTAATAACAGTAGTCTAGCATTTAGAGGTGGCCACCCGGATCCGTTAATAGCGGACAGAGGTTAATTTCCGTTAATTTTCCGTTAATTAACGGAAAATAACGAAAAAAGACAAAAATTAACCAAAAATTGACGGATTTTTGGATTTTTTGGGGATTTTTGGGTTTTAGTCATACTTATAGTTTATGGAATTCGCTATTAGAGAGTATGTTTGTATTTTATTTCAACCTATGCATACTAGATTTTCAACTAGCCGCAGTTGTTGTGACTTTTTGGGTTTTTTTTCGATTTTTTTGGAACTTTTTCCTTTTTCCTGAATTTTTCTCCCTTTTTTTTTAACGAAATTTAACGGACAGCTGATAAAAATTAACAAACCGGACTTAACGGACTGAATGGCATCTTTGAGTGGCCACCTCTACTAGCATTTGCAAGGGATGGCCAGGAAAGAACAACGGGTTGCATCCCCTGTTTGGCAAGGAGTACCGGACGAGGCAGTATTTATGTATATTTATTTACTCATGCGTATTTATTTATGATGGCGTGGACAAGAAATATGTAGACATGCGTTGTTTAAACATGTTGAAGTATTGGAACTCGTTATGTCAGTGCTATGGCCCGAATCTAGAGGCAAAGGTTGTTGGACACAGAGAAAAAATCCGCTTGGCAAAAATTGCCTCCAATAGAAACCGCTGCTGACCAACGGAACACTACCGGAATCTCAAAGTCTCTGACAGATGGCAACGGAACGCCAAGAGAGGCAGCGGAAAAAAAGTGCTTTTACAGAAAACGCTGGCTGCAAACACCTCCTTGACGGTCAGCTCCAGAGCCAAAAAATTGAAAGCTGATGTGGCATAAATGGCTACAGAAATCCGGCCCCAGCAAAGTGACGGAAAATCGACAGACAGATTGTTTGTGTTCAAAAAAGTTATTGAAGTAAAATAATAGAAAAAAGAAAACTGGGCGGCCACGTTTACTGGAAACAGATGTTAACCAATGGAGCACACTCTCATGAACGGCCAGACCAATCATGGGTGCTCTGGCCTGTGCAAAACTCCGTGTTCAGGGGTTTTTCTCCTTTTCTTTTTGTATTTCTCGACTTTTGTCACTTGTTCAGCGATATTCTCGCATTTTTCTACTTCTGTCATTTACTCACGACACTCAGGGCACCACAACAAACTCAATGTCTAGGACCACTGAAGAGTGGGCTGGCTGGGCAACACACCAACACAGCCCCATGCCGAGGCAAGATATATCCCAACATGCTTCTTGGGGTCCAAACATCTAAACAATACAGCCCAGAACACAGCTTTGTGACTGGCAAAACAGACTCTACCCATAGCTGGAAAGAGACATCAGCATATGGGATTGAATCTAAGCCAAAGTGATGTGATGAATGGCTGGCACCACAGCCAGCACGTATGCTTTCTCCACAACGTTATTTCAGTTGTGGGTGACTGATGAATAAGCAAACATATGTAGCCTTAGCAAGGGGTAGTCCACCCTGGAAAGAGCCATCAGGTGTGGGCCCAAACTTGGCTGTGCATGGTCCCTTTTTAGCCTTTTTCAGGCCAGCAACCTTTTAGCCGAGAACGAGTGGCTTTGAGGATAGATACACACCCAAACCGGGCAGTATCCTTATTTAGAATGCACAACCTCACCAGATATTGAGAGCCGTGGTCAATACTGGTGAGGCAGCTTTCCTTGAAGTATTCTTGCTGCATAGGGCTTTGCTTAGTCATCACCAAGCTCCCCTTGAGGCAGAACCTCCTTTCAATTTTTACGACCAACTTGCCAGGTTACTAAGAACGCAAGCACTTGACCAATTTTTGTTTTTGTTTTTGTTTTTTCTTTTTTCTAGCTGGTGGTGGCATACTCGGGTCATCCCACATAGTCAGAATGCATGTCAGACATGAGTCCCTTGCCAGCTGACTCATAAGTGACTCACCCAGTGAAACGATGGTCATTATGCAACTGCACGAACACCCATCATAAGAGAAATAATCTTGTGAATTATAAAACACACTTTCTTCTTTTCATAGATTTAAAACGCCTTGTATACAAACGATGTTTTTGAAGTGTATACTAGAAGTCGAATTGGTTTTGGAATGCCGTCAGGCATTGTTAACCCGATTTCAGGGAAAATTTTGCCTACCTGGGGCGATTATTTTGGATAACTCAGTAAAACTAGTGATTTTCTATGGCGCCAATTTTGATTTGCTGCCACACTACGCCACCTTGGCCAATTACTGGCCGTCTTTTGCCATACAAAATGTTCACATTGCCGCACTTTGCCTTTTGCCTTTGGCATTGTCCTATTCTGTATCACTTGAACCTTTTTGTAACCTAGTGCGTTTGGCAATTTTCCAAAAAAGACTATTTGCCCAGGTGCCATTTGTTGATTAGCATTTTCAAGAGTAAGCATGCATTTGCTTTGTGTGCAGCTGGTGATGTGGGGTCACCCAAGCATTGTATTTTCGCCTCAAAACCAAACAATGCACATAAAACATTTGAAAAAACAATGGTGATTGATATTCAGCGGAAAGGTGCCCCTAGAAATGGACAACCCTATACAACTGCTCATCGTCATAGACAACACGTCACATCAAACTATCGAACACAATGCAACACATAAACGCACAATCACACACATGCTTAGAAAACAAAGCTACACTAGATACACAGAACATCAAAGCTACACAACATGCGCAGAGAAGAAGAAAGGGACTCTAGAGACACAAAAATCCTTTGGAATACGAATACAGGGAAGAAAGAGCACCACGTGATATGTTTAATAATAGGCAGTGGAAGATTCACCAGCCACTCCCATGCCACCTGACAGCAAAGCCATTGGGCACCGATTCCCCCTTAGATTGTGCTACAGGGTGCCGTTGGCTGTGAACACCCAAAGTCCAATGCCGTTGGGGGCTGTGGATTTTGCCGTTCTAATGGCAAAATGTGCTGATTAGTAACCTCAATGCTAAGTGCGCCATCCAGAAATTCGTCCAACGCCATTAGTGTTGACGTCATCTTGCAACATTGGGTCTGTGCCACCGATGCCACTAAATAATGACCTGCAGTGTAAAGCATAAGTGATCCACCCAGTGAAATGGTGGAATTATATGGTGTTGCAAATAGCATCACGGCAGCACCGCAATGCTCAGCCTGAATAGCACCGGGTGCGATTCTGGGGTGCTATTTGGCCTCGAGCGGTGTTATTCGGGCCCAGAATAGCACCGCTCGGTGCCAAATAGCATCGGCGGTGCTATTGGTGTGCTATTGCTCCCAAAGCATTAATGATGGTTTTTGGACGTGCGGTGCTAATTGAATAGCCGAATAGCACCCCCGGTGCAATAGTACCCATTGATAAAGATGTTCTAAAGAAATCCGGCCTTGTACCCATTGATAAAGATGTTCTAAACGAGTGCATTGCAGGAAGGGTCCGCATAGTTGCACCATGCAAGCACCCAAGGTGATTTGGCCATGGCAGTTCGGGAAGCATTGTGGCAGCGGGTTGGGCGTCGCAATGCAGCAGTGTGCTTCTGATGGCCGCCAATGGCGCTGGCTTGACAATGCTAATCGTGTGGACTGCCTCTGCAGTCCCTCCCCCGTAGGTCTGGGATCTTCTGTTGGGGCTTCGCCACCCATTGTTTCTTCTTGAGACTCCTGCATGCAAGCCCTCACACCCTTTTGTTTGTTTCTTTTTTGCGGTCGGTGGCCCTAAAGCGTTGTAAAGCCGAAAAGGGCCCAACGTATACCTGAATGGCGTGGTGTTGTTCCGTGTTTGAGACTTACAAGTCTTACAACATCTGGACAAGAATACAACACACATGATCACACCTTGAGACAGCACATACATAGTGAATGCACCATTTATGACATACTTCGTTTTCCTGTTCTGCACACAGGCGCAGTATACTTGCCCTGAAGCAAGACGTCCACCACTTTGGAGCATAAGAGTCCCATAAAAAAAAGGCAAACAAGCAACCAAACAATCTCATCAAACAGACCACGGAAGGGAAGGAGCGGCGTTAGGATGAGCGTAGCAGTGAGGCCACACAATGGCCAATACACTATCGAAGGCAACAGAAATTTGGCACGCAAAAAATGCACCAAAGCAGCTGATGTGGCCACAACCAATGGCCACGCGAGGAATGGGTGAGTCGTCGATGGGACGGCCAGAATTGGTAGTGCAGAACACAGCACCAGACCTGTGACAAACGGCACAGTAAAGCCATAGTCATCATCTGACATAGAAAAGCAGCTACTACCCAAATGCCACGATCTAGCATTGGACATAGGGCTGCAAGACTGCTTACCTACGGCGAGGATAAGGGCGATGGCTCTGTTAGATGGGGCGCCTCCCAGACATTCACGTTGATGGGCTTGCAGCGCCGCTGACTGGCTCATTGCATACCAAACGGCATTTGTGGCCATGAAGCCAAGTAACACCACTGCCAGAGATCCAACAATACCCAGAAGGATTTCTTCCTGTGGGGGATGGCAAACATAACGCTCATGATGGCTGGATACTAGGTGAGCAATAGTGCAACACAATGTGAGTTCAATATGAGTGAACGATGTGCAAAAGAGCAAACAGAAACGAGAAAATGTACAATCACAACATGATACGATGCTGCAATTTGGGCGGGCAGAAGAAATCGGATGAGATGTGGACCATTCTCGCCCGCATCCATAATCAAAGTGGCCTTTTGGGTACATTTCCTTCCATTGTGATAGTCTCCAATTGCAAACTGAAAAACCCCAGTCAACACGGGATCAAGGTCGTGCTCAAGAGAAGGACAACCATTGTATAATGTCTTGATACGTCTGTTGTTTTGCCAGAAAGAGCCGATTCCAGATATCACTGCACAAATGCGTCGCACCAGCAGCTTAGGGTGAACATGTGGCAAACAGCTGCTCAAGGAAGTTCATACATTGGAGGAAGAGTGTATGTTTTCTTGGACAATGCTTAGGCACAGTGGACATATATATTGTGTTGCTTCTTCCCTCCCCAGATAAGACACCCAGGTCTTACAATCCAAACTACATGCATAGTGCCAGCGCCGCCAGGCTCATGGTAAGAGCATCATTCCCTGGTAAGTTCACAGCCAGCACCCTATTTGGAAAAGAGATACAATTCTCAGCGCCCGATTGTATTTATATTATGCCACCTCCGCTCCACAAGTCCTGTCCATTATCCAATGCTGCCATCACTTTGCAATATCAACCCGATTAGTAAATCTATAACCAGATTCGGATTGCTTGGTCGATTTTGGGGTAGTGGGTTTCTTGTTTACATAATCATCACCATACAGCAGGACCTGCACAGCCATATTGAAAGCGTCTTTATACACCTTCGTCAGGGCCTCAATTCCTATACTTTTGTGCTCACCTTATCCCCATGTGCGTCAGCTTATTTCCCCAAAATTTTTCAAGAACTTTGTTGGAGGCAGTGAATAGGCAATGCTACAAACTTTCCAGAATTTGGCATCATCGCAGTCACACTCTCTGTGGACCATCTCTTTTGCTATGTTGACTCATGCCTTGAAATTGTCAATTTCAACGATTTGCCACGTTGTCACCAACCTAGTCCGTTCTCGGGTTAGCGTCAGTATGCACGGCCTTCCTAACCTTGTTGCACCCGTTGTTGCACAGGTCAATGCTGTTGCACTAATCTAGGTGTCTATTGGCCTTCAGCCACAACACACGCACAATTCCTGTTGACATCCAAAATCTGCAGCAAGCCCGCATCTTTTGCTCTGTGGATTCAGTTTTGAATTTAGCCGAATCTTCACTGTATACCAAACCAACAGGCCATTCATATTTCCTAGAGACGATTTAGTTCGATCCACCTCCTTCAAAGGGCAAGACCAGCTCCCTATACCTGGGTTAGGTCCCAACAAAAGGAAAACTGGCGCCTGTGCTCCTCTTAGCATATCTCAAGAACGGCATCACCGTTTTGCATGCTTAAGGCTCCATAGATAGCTATCAACATGATGCGTTGAAATTGTTTTGGTCGCATTTTTTGACTCGCACATTTTGACCTCCACTTGCATGATTTGGATAACGGACAGGACTTTTGGAAGAGGGGGTAAATGCATATATTTTGCTGTACCCACTGAGCCCAAAAGGGCGACAGCCTCAACAGGTACTCAAGATGTGGTAAGGATTGCAGCAGCCTAGCAGTTGGGGTATACAACCCACCTGCACTCCGACTATGTCTTGACGCTCCCTTTGCCATGTCAAAGCCAATGGCAATAGAGGCCAGCTCCACCACAGCCATGGCTTGAGTGCAGGGACCCCTGGGAAGGTGACTGCACTTTTTTCAGAGCAAGGCACTTCCCACCGAAATCTAGGATAGTAGTAAATGTGGTCCATCTCATAGCCGAATGGCAAACGATACATGCCACCAGGTGCATGGCTACTGCCTGGACGAAAGAGGGGCGCTTCAATAAGATCTGGAAAAAAGGCGTTCAAGAAGCCCTGTGTGCACAAACAAGTTGTCAACTTTGTGTATTGCTCGAGAAAACAAATTGTATCTGTGCACGTACACCCTGTAGATTAAAGCTGCCCTTTTGCCATCAACAAGGACTTTGCCCCCTGTGCTGCTGCGTAGCATACACCATGGGAGGCACGTCACTTCATAACCCACTGGCCTTGCACACATCATCAAGCTTGCACTTCTCTATGAATTGCAGACATCATGATTCACAAGTGCATCACCAGAACGTGATCTTAATGGCATACCTGATCTCCATTGTCAAGCCCGTTTGCATGCATGTCCTGTGACAGCCTTGTTACGTTTTGCTTCATTTCCTCAAAAACTGTCAAAGATGGCTGTAGTACCTGCAAACAACTCGACAGCCATTAGCCACATACACTGCTGGAGACTAAACCTTCTATTCCCTCTTTGTATATGTCTTTGATTGTATCCAACCAAACCCAATAGACACTTGCTCACTACAATCATGCTTTGAACAATAGCTCTCATTCAGAGATTATGAGAAACAAGGGGTGGAGCAGCTTGTTGTACACTTCTCAACAAGTTATCTTGACCAAATTGTGACAAGAGAATTGAAATGAGTCATAGAGTGTTGTGGTGCAAGCTGCAAATGATACTGCCATCCTACCAAGAGTCCTGTGTGGAAAATGCACGGATTGATGAAGGCAGCGCAGAATGAACCGCACCCAAACAGTTCATCAATGTTCTGCATAAAGATGAAATCTGCATCCAGCAAGACAATCTTGTCATAGTCGCTCAGCTTCCACGCCACCAACTTGTTCAGCACCTTTAGGAATCGCCACCTGTGGGATTCCAGCAACATGAGCGTGTCACTTGTTGGGACCTTAACCACACATTGCTTGACCATATATTCCATAAAGAAAAAGGTGAGAAAGGTTACATGCATACCTTTGATGGTGAAGCTGACTGTATGGATTGACCACATCCACGATTTCGATAGGACGTATACCCTGCACATGAGCCAGAAGAAGAACAGCTGCAGCAACAACCAAACTGAGCAGTCTGAGACAATAAATACAAAGCATAGGGCTTAGATTTTGATCAACAGGTGGAGTGGGGTTGACTAACAATAGCATATCTCAAGTTGTGTGCCATACCTGGGATTTCAATCGCTCTCGCCAAGTGGATGGCACATCTGGAGATACCAAGGCCAGCAAGTCTGCATCGGGCTTTGTTTTTTGAAGTGATCCAAACATGACCTATCAACCACACATCAAATGATCACACTCCCTTAGGCAACTGAATGAAAGCGAGAACTGCAATCCAAACGACTCTGTGAATAGAAGGAATGTATCCAAAACAGAACGAACCCAACACACAAGGGTTGTCTCTCCATATGACTCTGCGAAGGACATCAATATAGGAATGTCTTGCAACTCTTGGCTGCATGCACCACAATTGTTCCCATACTGCATACTTTTGCATCTCCTCATCTAACAATCCCGCTGCTTTTTTTGTTGCTCTGGTGGTGGTGTGATTGCCTGAAATCCGGATTTCTATGCTCTACCCATAGCCCAACGACTTGTGGCGTAATGACTTGTGGCATGTGCCAGAAATTGCAATACTGACAATATGGCTTGCATCGACAGGGGTTGAATCATTGTACAACAAACATTGCTAGTGGATGTCACTGCAAAGGCACAAGGCAATGTTTGGTGCTGACAAGGCAAATGCGTGTGTTCCATTGGCAGGCATTCTCCAAGAAATGTGTTGTTGTGGCAATGGAGGGTGCTTCAGCTAGCGACAGACTGTGTGTGCATCTCTCCATGCATGACCAGCATTTCAGCAAAGCATGACGATGCAACAAGCGGTTATCTCACGTGCGGGGTGGCAAAATCAGCAACCACAGGCATGGTTTATTCAGGAAACTTCTTGCAGTGATTCTCTTCATGCTGTCTAATCTACCTGGATATGTTCCACACAGTACTTCACAGTGAAAACATCAGGGTTTGGGTCCAACCAGCAGTCAGTGGCCTGGGGAGGTTGGGTGTCCAGGTTTCAATTGCAGTTCTGGAAGTTGCAACAAGTTGCCTCTTTCTGATGGGCAATGGTGAAGCCCGATCAATAATCCCGATAATCGTGGCTGCCCCAAGGACATTATTTAAAAATGTACAGTTGGCCAGCTGTGTGAAGAGTGCCCCACAGTTTTGCTCTGGCAAGAGTCACAAGGCCAGAGCGCTCGGTTGACACACCTACCCGCATGGCAAGAAAATAATCATTGTCCCTCTTGGTGCCGGTGTACAGAATGGATGCATACGCGTGTTTATGGCACTGCGACGACGCGCAGTCGATTGCCGTCGCCACCCCCTGACGGGCACCCAACGCGGTCATTTCACGAGGAGAACAAACGGGATAAAGCCAATCCTCGCGGGATATATAGCGAAGGCCATGGCAGGCAGGTGTGCTGCCCTGCTATGACCCTGCCGTTAACCAACAGACTGGCTCTGAAAATGGAGCGATGTTCAGGATGCGCACCCAGAACTGCGAGAGAAATGACATCCCAATCTCCAGCAGCGGTCAATACACTTGATCGTTGCCACCATCCACCAGGAAAGTCACCGGCTGACACCAAACAGAAAATCTGTGGAGCAGCACCACTGCCTGACAGGGTCTACGCAGACGTCAGTTCAGCACAAAGAGACTCACCAGACCAACAAGTGCAACCATGACACGCAACAAGGCACGGTCACCAAGGGCCGAGTGCTTCTGCCGCATCTTTGTACTTTGTTCTGTTGTTGGCAACGCTGGCTGCAGAAGGCGAGGCGCTTGGGGTTGTGCGCGTTGTACCCTGAAAGTGAGGCTTGTGTGATGTATTTCCATTTCACAACAGCAGGGAAGCATCTGCATCGACATTGAAAGCCGTCGTCATCATCAGCCTCATCCCCAAGCATGTGTTGTTCGCCCGCCAAATTTCATGGAGAGCATAAGCCGCCGCCACGCAGGTCCCCAAAACCCGGCAAATTCCATGCGGGCCAGACTCCGTGCGGCCCCTTAGAATGCCTGGGACTGCTACTAACCGAAGGTACAACGTGGATAGAAACCCAAGGGCGGGGATTAAGACGGCCATTCACATTGAGCTGCCAATTCAAATCATCAATGCAGCCCACCCAACGTCGCCCTTTGCAGAAACTCACTAACTGGACAGTTAATTTTATTTCTGGAAGGCCGCCTCGGCAGAAACACATTACTGAATAGATAATTCATTTCTGGAAGGTTGTTAAACATAACCCAAACAGCAAGTGCGTTCCTTCTGTTTGGGTGGGTGGGTGGGTGGGTGTCTCCAGGTTCCATTTGTGCTGGCATTGCATTGATCGCATTTTCTGAGCGGATTGTACTACCTCTGTCCCAAAAGTATTGTTGCTTCCCTAATTCGAGCAAACAAAGGTCAAAACGTGCGAATCAGAAAGTTCGACCAAAACAACTTCGACATGTCTTGTTGAAAGCTATCTGCAGAGCCCTCCAACGTAGCAAACGGCGGCGCCCTTTTTGAGATAAGTGAGGAGGAGCTGAAATGCAACTTTGCGTTTTGTTGGGACCTCGGGAAGGTCATGGGTATCTTGTCTTGCTCTTCAAGAAAGTTGATCGAGCTGAGCTGTCTCTAGGAATGATGATTGACCTGGCAGTTTGGTACGCATTGAAGATTCGGTTACATTCGGAGCAGAATCTGCAAAGCAAATGATGTGGGGTTGCCGCACATTTTGGGGTGTCGACAAGGATTGCGTGTACATTGTGGCTAAGGGCCAAGAGACACATGGAATGTGCAAGAGCATTGACCTAGCTGACAGACCTAGCTGACATACCAAGCTTACAATGGCCGTGCATGCTGACGCTAACTCCAAAACGGCCTAGATTGGCACCAACATGGCCAATCATTGAAATCGAGAAGTTTGGAGACATGAATCAGCATAACATAATAAGAGAATCAGCATAAGAGATGGCCCAGAGAGCGCATGATTGTAATTATTCCAAAACTCATTAAAGGCTGTGGTAGTGCCTATATATTAGCTACAACAAGGTTCTTGAATACTATCGGGGAAATAGGCTGGCACACATGGGGATAACGTGAGCACAAAATTACAGGGAATTGAGGCCCTGAATGGAGATGTTTAGGGACGCTTTTGATAGGGCTGTGAATTTGTTGCCGTATGGTGGTGACTAAAATAATCAAGATCCGCATGAACCCAAATCTATCAAAGAATCCGAATCTGGTGGCAGATTGCCTAATTGAGTCGATCCTGAAAAGTTATGGCAACATTAGGGAAGCGACAATATTTTTGGGACGGAGGCAGTATTTCTTTACAAAGTGCCAAGCCCAGTTGCCACTGTAAGGCTCGTGTGGATTCCTACAATCTTATGACTGGGTCGGTTCAACAAAATCCATCATACCACAATAAAAGTACTGGTGCTTTGATAGAAGCTTAAAAGTGATTTGAAGAACACAACAAAAGTGCAACTGGGAGGGAGTGTAACAACGCAAGGCAGGGACGACAGGGAGAGGCCAAATGGTCCCTCCCACACAGCTCCTGGAAGACCTCCTTTCCAAAAGGGCGCCACACTTCCAATGGGCCTCTATGCCCTTGGACTTTCTCAGACCCCGAGTATGGTTCTGTTCCTGGTGGACAGGACCTCGAGGGGCAACAGCAACGATCTTGCAAGATTTTGCACCGACCGCAACCATCGATTCTTACAAGATTCGATGCCGATTCCAGCCTGGCACACAAGCCTATCATCGCCCATGGCAACGCTCGATTAAAGTCAGTTCCTTCCACTTGTTATTGGCCCTGGAACTGTGTCCAAGGCTCTTGGCGCTGGATGGAATGTAATTCTTGCATTTCTTCTTGTGTTGCCTTGCATCCTTCCCAAATTCCCTTTTTAATCCTCAGTTCCAGCACTGCTATGTCATGTCAGCCTACAAAGCCACAGGGTGCTGGAAGGATCGCCTCCCCTACCCCTTCCTACATAGGAAACGAATTGCTCAAGCTGAGTCTTGCTCCCACACAACACGATTTCTCCTGTCACCCTTCACAATAAGTGCATACACAGTACTGGGCACTGAAATAGTTCTTGTTGACTAGCGTTATGTGTTAGGTGGCATCCCCCAAGGATGTGGTCACAGCTAGACTCTTCGCTGCTCCAGATGCCCTGATCTGTTGAGAATGAAACATGGCACAGTGGCTTATCCAACAACGTGTTAGAATCTACCTCACTGGGCACTTTTGTCAATCAATCAACAGACAATTCATATCCAGGCAGGCAAGTAGCTGAGCTCACTCCTATCGGCCAGATGGTGTCTTGTCATCCATTCCAAGTTGTTTCAATCCATACCGAATTCCAGGGCATATGGCCATGGATCAGGGTGGACAACGTGTGTGGCCCACAGATAACTTGTTAACACACTGAATTGAATTGATTCCTGCACATCAATGTTTAAATAGCGATCCTGATCGCTCGTGATCCACCCTGAGCTATGGGTGTTTGCGATCGGCGTCTCCCAGGACATGACATTGGTATTCTGTCTAAAGTTGGAGCACCATAGCAGTGAACCCACCCCACTTTACAACACATCAACTTGCCTATGAGACACACCGGGACTGGATGGTTTCAGCTCAACCTTCGCAATGCCGAGTCACGTCGGTGTTTCAATGTCCTTCCTGTCGATGCCTGCTTTCCACATAAAAACGCAAGGTATGCAAGTAGGAACAACCAAAATACACCTTAACAACCTGGATGGCCGTTTTCAAGAACGTACACAGCAGTCGCAGTCAATGCCCCTCTGGGTGTCGGTCCTGTGCCTGGAACATTGGAAATGGGCCCAAGTCTGCATAATCAGTATGTTCTGTGACCCATCGTCACTCCTCTGATTACATTTGTCAATAATTGACAAAACCCTGCCAGTGCGCAGCCTTGAAACAGGTGATACAATGGCCATCAGCCAGAAAAGGATTGGGCAGTGCAAGAGGCACTGCATGCCAATGAACAACAGCAAATCCATGTAGTGGCAAACACAGTGCACATAATCTCACACTGGTCTTGTTTCAACTTGGTATGTTCCAACCATAACTATATGCTCCGTGCCTGACAAAATGCAGATCAATGACTTGCAACTGCGCACTCAACACACATGCAAACCAAGGCGCTATTCCTCTTTGAGGTTGTCCTTTCCACAGCCACATGGTCCACATGCTGGTGCTGTGTCTTGAATGTCCCTGTGCCAATGCACGTGACACGTTTCCCAGGGCAGAGCAAGCAGGCACTGGTTATGTATTAGATGCTGAAGGCCATTTGTTTAGTGTGATGGGTGGAGGCGAGCCATGAGCTTTTGATCTAGAAGCTACTTTTGTTAGATTAAGCTTGTTTTAGCCTTGTTTCTGGAACCGCTCCTCCTCAGCAACCCTGGCCTCCATGGCCTTCTGCCACTCGGCCATCGCCTTGGCCTCCTTGACCCCCCTCAGCCACGGGTGGAACTCCGTCTCCCGGTAAAACGACCGGTAGTCCGTCCAGAAGATCGGCTTCGGGAGCTCGGGCTGGGTCAAGGGTTTTTCGGAGCGCTTGGGGATGAAGGGCCTGACGTGCTTCGGCGCAGGCAGCGCCTTGAAGGCGACCCGCTCCTGTTCGCCGCCCATGGAGCAGCACGAGGCGTGCCGGCTGCTGCAGCAGGAGGACGGCGGGCCCCTGGCTGAGCCGCGCGGCGTGATGCCCGCCGACGGCCGGGGAGTGCCGAGGGAGAACAGCTTCCCGCCAGTGGTCGTCAGGCCGGCCTGCGCGTTGGGACTCGGCGCGTTCTCCTTGTCCTCTGTGCCCACGCAGTCGCCGCAGCCATCTTCGTCGCACGAAGCGTCGTCGGGGCACTCAGATCCGATCCGGCGCCAATCCTCGCCCTCCCTCCCCGGCGTGAGCCCGTAGGTCGCCCACAGGTCCTCCTGCTCCGCGTCCAGCGCCGCCTCCTCCGCCTCCAGATCGCCACGCCGGGCCTCTAGCGTCCGCAGCTCCGCATCCTCAGCGCCCACCAGCTGCCCGAGGGCCGCCACCACGTCCTGGTGATACTTGAGCTCCCGCCTCATCGACGGCGGGCACTTAGCCTCGACCCTGGCCTTCAGGTCCGCCTCCAGCGCCTCGACGTCGCGCGCCTCCTCCGCCAGCCTGGCCTGCAGCTCGTCGATCGCCCGCTGGCCATCCACCCCCAGCCGCACGTACTCATCCTCTAGAGCGCACACCTCCCTGCACCCGGCATCGGCGAAAGCCTCCACCTCAGCAAGAGCAGTCTCAAGCTCAGCCTCCTCCTCCTCGCACGCGACCTCCAACTCTCGCCGCCGCTGGATCAGACCGTCCCGGCACAATTCCAGCTCCGCGTTCAGGCGCGCCCTGTGCGCCGTCGCCTTCTTCACCCTCGCGCAGTTCTTCTTCGTCCATTCGATTTCCTCCTCCACGGCCCTCAGGGCGCGGCCGTCGGGGCTCCACACGCCGGAGGCCCTCCTGCCATCACCGCCGCCGCTCCTGGCTGAGGGCCCCCGCGGCTGCCGGCCGCTGGTGCTCGTGGCGCCCTCCATCCGAACGCCAACCAGCTTTGGGTGCTGCCAAAGCGATGCGTTGGTGAGAGGGTGATACCGCGTACAGATAGCCGGCACTGAGTCACCCGCCTCCAACTGGTGGTTACTTAACTGGGGGTAGTGCTTGCTGCGTGTGTGCCTGATGTCGCTTTCCGCCTTGGCGACTGGGCCAGGATGGGTAGTCATTGATGTGTGGTTAATGACTGTCCAGATGGTGTGGGCTTCGGGCTGGCCGCCCAAGGTCGGGGAGGGCGGGTGGTTGTGTACGAGACAACTGGGCTGTGCGGTGCGCGTTGGGTTGTGTTG